AGTACTCGGCGATTGGAAAAAAGATTCCAACCCTAGATATTCTCATCAGTAGAATTCACAATGTCAACAATGAGTATGAAAAGGTGTTTTATTGTTCAAAGCATTTGACAATTATTAAAGGTGAAACTCTGAAGGCTTGTTCCTGCGAGCAGTGTAGTGTTGAGGGTGTATTGAACAAGGAGAATATTCAACACTTTTGGACTAAAAGTATTGCCTCGTGCATATCGAATATGGTTGATAGGGTAGGCTTGAGAAGATTCCAATCACACCTATCTGCAGCTACTGATACGAACATTCCTACAGTGGGCCAGAAACATTTCATTAAGGACTGTGTTGATGGGGTCGAGTATAAGAGAATTACAGACAAGTGGGTCATTCGAGATGATCCCAACACTATTTGCCTCACCATTAGTGCTGGCACTGATGGTGGCTCTGTCAACAAGTCCAACTCTAAATCCATCAATCCTCTCTTCTTTTGGATAAATGAGATTGGATTGAAACACAGATTTTCCTATCCATTGACTTCATTGGCAGCATATGCAAACCACAAAATACCCTATCAAATACTCTTGTCCAAATTTATAGATGAACTCAATGAATTGGACAAGGGTTTGACTATTGTTACCAAGGGAGGATGTAAATTCTTTCTAAAAGTAAGTTGATTGTGTGATTCATTGGACAACAAGCCAATTATTATTATTATATACATGTGAAACAAATAATTGGATTTGTTACTAGGTTCGCCTCTTTCAAATGATTGTCGATTTGGTTGCTGCAAAAGATCTCTTGCAAATCAATGGTCACTCGGGCCTGTGTGGTTGTAGATGGTGTCTACATACAGGAGAAAAGAAGGGAGAAAACACTGGTGTATTGTATTGTGTAGGAAATTCGAGTTGTAATAGTGGAGTCAATAGAGTTTGGAATAACATGATGCCACAGTTTTGCAAGTTGCAAAAAAATGAGATTTCTTCCTTCGATGGTGTGATTGGCATTTCAATTCTCCTCAAGCTCAGCTATTTTAGATGGACTACTCAGGTAGCCTGTGATATTTTGCACAATCTTTTAGAGGGTCTTTGTAAAAAGATTTTGAAGAATATTTGTTCATTGTACAAGACTTTAATTCCCAGCATTGATGGTAAGTATTGTGGTGAAGGAAAAATATGAACTCAACCCCTTGGTGTTTAACAATTGAAAGAACGCATCAAACTTATTGAAACTCCATCCATGTATCACAGAGAGATTCGTTCCTTGAATGAGGCTGCAAAGTTCAAAGCTATTGAATACTACATGTTGTTTGCCTATTGTAAGGATGTTTTCAAGAATATTATTTCTGAAAACCACTTTAACATTTTAAAAAGTGTCGAAACTTTTATAGGACTCATCATGAATCCTAGTGAGAAGAGTGAGCAAGCCAAGGCAAGTCTATTGCAAATGGCATTCAACTTGCTGCGAAGTGTGGAAATTGAATTTGGTGAGGAGGATATTACAATGGCCTCTCATACTGTTCTTCACTTTCCATTGTAAGTACTCTACTAGTTATTCAGAATGCAACAATTTCATATAATATTGATTGTTTTAAAACAAGATCGATATGGAATTTGGGCCCTCTCTATACCAACTCTACGTTCATGTTGGAGGATTTGATGGGCTCTCTTACTTCCTCCATCTATGGAGGAAAGGCCAACATGGATCATAAGGCTTTGGAGAATTGGTCCATTCATCAAATGACCAGTTTGAAAAGGGTGAGACAATTCACCTTCCAATACGAACATGGTTTGTATCTTTTTTTTTCAAAGGTTGCTGACACTCATAATGTTTAGGTGATATTGTTAAATTTTCCAAGGGTATTTTTCAAATTGTTAAACGGTA